CGCGACAAACAATTTTCCTTCGCAAGCAGATTGGCTGCGATCAGTAGAGCCGAATGCCCCAATTCGATGGGTTCAGGAATTTCGATGCGTGAACAATGCGAGCGAGATACCAAAGCTCCCGCAAACGATGATCAACGAGCTGTTTGACCAGATGCATGGATGATCGACGTTCTCGACAATCGATTTGCAAAAGGGATACCATCAGATGCGGATCGCCGAGAGCTCGAGAAAGTACACCGCATTCTATGCCTTTCCGGAAATACACCACTGGTGCGTGGCATCCATGGGACTTGCTGGAATGCCAGGCTCATGGAGCTGATTGATGCGATCAATCTTTTCTCATCTCATTTTCGTTGTCGTGTACCTCGATATCATTTGCGTGTTCAGTCGGACAAGGGAGCTGCATCGCGAGCATTTGAGAGCATTGTTCGAGTTGCTGCGAGAGAACGAGCTGTATGCGAATCGCAAAAATGTCAGTTCAGACAGAGCGAGATCAATTTTCTGGGTCACAACGTCGACAGCTAAGGAATCGACATGGATCCAAAGAACTATATAAGCGTTGCCGGCACCGACGAGTACAAAGGAATTGCAGGGGTTCTTGGGACTCGCGGGCTATTACCCCGGTTCACCCCGTCCTACGCAGAGATTGTGTTGCCTATAAGCGAGTTACTCAAGTCGAGCAATGAATGGGGATGGAGGGATCACCATCAACACGCATTTCACAGGATCAAACTTGTGTTGCAACAAGCACCAGTGCTGCGACTCCCAGTTTTCAAAAAGACGTTTATGCTTTCGACACTCTGGAACTAGCGTGGGAGGAGTGCTGTCGCAAGAGGTCAAAGAAAAAGATCTACCAATTGTGTTCCACAACAAGAAGCTGAGCGACACAAGACGGAGATGGCCAGCGCATGACCAAGAGCTGTACGCCGTGAAGTTGTGTATTGCAAAATGGAGACCTTATCTGTACGGAACCCAGTTCGTTGTGTTTACGGATAACTCATCGTGCAAGTGGCTGAAGTCAAGACTACAAGAGTCAGGAAGACTGGCGAGATGGCTGGACTTCTTTGCAGAGTACGACCTTGAGCTGATTCATCGACTTCGCAAGGAGAATGTAGTCGCAGATGCCTTGTCAAGACAAGAAATCAATTTGGCATGTATCCCGATGGAGAAGTTCAAAACACACTCAACTCGGTGTCGAGGAGCGACATGAGCTTGATATATGGAATGCAGAGCCTTCCAAAGTATGAAGGATACCTAGAAAACAAAGAAGAGAAGAGAATGGTGCTCGAGGCGAACAACCTTCACGCAAAGTTGGAGAAGAGCACGAGAGAGAAATTTGAGCATACAAGGAGGACGAGCTCTATACCAAGATAATGTAAGGCAGGGGAGACACGACCAACTTGACAATGGAAGATGGACTGATTACCCCCGCATGTCAGAGAACCAGGTGAAGCAGCTGTGTGGTTTTGAAAGTCGAGAGCTGAAGCTGACAATACTGAACAACCATCACGACGCACCGACAGCAGCGCACCCAGGCATCGAGCATATCGCCAACGCTGTCAAGTTGTGATTCTGTTGGAAGAGCATGCTTGAAGACATTAAGACGATTGTGCGAACGTGCAAGACGTGCATGCGGTACAATACCTCGAGCCAGAAGAAGCAAGGATTGATGCAACCGATCGCGATTCCAGAAGATTGTTGGGATTCGGTCAGCATGGACTTCATTAACAGACCACCAGAGTCCGAGGGATGCGACTCGATACTCGTAGTGGTTTGCAAATTATTCAAGAGAGCTGTTTACATTCCAACCAAGCAGACAGGACAGTAACAGCACACGATACAGCCAAATTGTTCTTCAAGTGGCGAGATACTTTGGGCTGCCATAGCAGATCATCTCGGATAGAGACCCAAAGTTTGTGTCAACGTTTTGGAGTGGACTCATGGACAGGATGGGCGTCAAACTATCGATGACAGTGGCCCATCGAGCGCAAGCCGACGGACATACGGCGAGACAGAATCGAACGCTGACAGACTCCCTGCGTTGTCTCGTGTCGAATGACGGCGACGATTGCAAGGAGTGGTTGGCGACCATAGAGTATGCGCACGCAACTCTGACGCCGTCATCTACCGGGTTTAGTCCCTTCGAAGTGGATGCGGGACGACCGCCACGAAATCCGATGGGCATCTCGGAGAACGAGCTGGCAAAAATATTCACAACAAGGAGGCAAGACGTCATCCATTTGGCGCAGTGATCGCTTCAAGCAGCTCAGGAGCAGCAGAAACGATTCTACGATTGCAAGCGACGCACTGAAAGCTTCGAGGTTGGAGAATGGGTACTGCCAACTCGAAAACCATCACCATTCATGACGCTGTGCAAGATCAAGACAACAGCAGCAAGAAACTTGTCGCCAGATACATTGAACCGTTCAAGATTCTCGAGAAGCTGTCGAACTACGTGTACCGATTGAAGTTGCCAGAATTCATGCGATTGATGAACGAGGTGTTTAACGTGGAGCAACTGAAGAAGTGTCTCGACAACCCAAGCGTATTCGAAGGAAGACCGCAGCAAAGGAGCACACCTTTTGTGGTGCAGGAAAACAAACTTACGTACGTCATCGAAGCCCTATGGAAGATATAGACATTCAAAGGGAGACAGCAGTTTCTAGTGAAATGGGCAGGCTATCCAGGAGACTAGAACACGTTGGAGAGCGAGCAAAACATTCGCCATGTGTCACCTTGGAAGTCGTTGTTGAAGGACTTGGAGGCAAGGACTCAACAACTAAGGCGGGAGAATGTAACCAATTAACTGTGCGCTGGTTAACGAGTACCAGTTATCCAAAGAGGTTCTAGAATATAAAAAGAAGATCACCGAAACCAAGACGGAGACATTCCAGAACACACTCATTGGATAGGAGCAAATGCACGTTAGCCAATAGTATTGCATATTACGTACACGTAGCATTATAACTGGATGTAAGTTCTTTAACCCAGGATTCTAACGCTAAGCAAAGGTCACTCTTGAACTTGCCGCCTAGTGCTCAGGTCACATGAAACCCCGTTATATACACGGACAGGCTATTCCCGTTACATGAACGCTCCTGGAATTATCACAATAACGCATTCTCATAGCTTGTGGTGTCTCCAGGCGAGCAATTATCGCCCCTGACCCATGGCCACCAGCTCTCCAGCCCCATCATTTTCTTAGTGTCCCAATATTAGGTACGTGGACATATCATGTTCCAGCATCGCAGAATATGCTGTCCCTAACGACCTGGTCGTGGGATTGAATATAAGTGCTATCAAGTGCAACGGAGCTGCTACGAACCACGCACAAATAGAGCTTCAAGTGCTATCGTCTTCACAAGTATTGATACTTTAGCTTCTCATATACAGTGTAATTCGAACTTCATAAAATTGTACAATTATATTCTACAATTATACGACTGGAAAAACAAATACTTCACAATTACTAAGAGATTGATATACTTAATATTGAGTCTTAAGTAGTAGTCAATATGTCTATTCTACCATTTATGTAAACGCAATGCATATCATATGGGTAGCAGCAACAAACCTCGTCTTTACAGAGCCACCATCCTCGTCCGTACTCATTAAAGGAGTCTCTTTTTGTGCTATAGTGTAATGTATACATAACGTTATAGGAAGGATCTCAAGCATATGAGACAGCGTCAAACAAAAGAATGCTAATCAACCTAGGTACGAATCGCGA